CTGATGGCTGCAATAAGGCCGTTGAAGAGCTCGAAGGTCCGTCCACGAGCAGCAAATTGTACAGAGCAGCACACAGCGTCGTCACCACCGAAACCTGCAGCTCGTCTCCAGCGTAAAACACCGCGTGGTCCTCGTCCAATTGCATCAGACAGAACTCGTCCAGCACCAGCGTCGTGGACGTCTCCAGAGTCTCAGCCTGCTTGCGTTTCAAGCACTTCTTCGTCGATTTAGTGTCTGATACGGCTGTATTCTTCACCTCCTTCTGCTCGTTCTCCTGCTTAAGTGCATGGACAATTGCTGCAATCACCTGAGCATCGAAATAGTCCTTAGTGTCGTCACTTTTCGACAAGAAATAGACCAGTACACTCAGCGAGAGTCGAGACATCTCATCGCCTGTGTCCTTAAGTCTCACTAGCAGCAGCTTGAGTTTGTTGCGGACATTGAGGCGTTGACTGGATAGCTCCACGGCCTGTAAAACCTGAGGGTCTAGTACTAATTGCACCAGCTCCAGGACGCTGCGAGTCTGCGCCAGACGTGTCCTAACAGGCTTCAGAAGGCCGTCAATTAGGTACATGACGTCGTCCAGCTTGACTGCTAGCTGACCGTCCTCCTGTAGTAGCAATGTGCTCTATAGTGTTACGATCGTGGCTTTTTCTATACCCGAAAGGTGATCCACGTGCGCGTGCTGCCTGCCGTAAAGTGCGAACTTGTCGACAGCTTCAAGGCGCGATAACAGCGAGTCGGGGCCGTCAGTGAGGCTTTGAGTTGTATCATGATACACGCCTGTATTTGGAGGACAAAAGCGCAGCGGTGTGAAGCGCAGAGGACCTTGAGGAGCCCCGATAAACCACGGAGATGACGGCGCCATCGGACTCCGATGATCGGAGTGAGCCTGTCCCTCGGAGTTGTTTTGTATTGGACCAGATCTGATTATTATCAAAAGATTATTTTCTAAATTTAAATTTCGAGATTCCATCTGACGAAACAGAAAAAATAAAGTATTACAGGGTATTCAAGTTATATGTGGTGATTTGCAATCGTGTGTAACCCGTCGCACCGTTAAAGAAACGGTGCGACGGGTTACACACGATTGCAAATCACCACATATGGAGTTAAAAGCGTCTGCGAAATAGGTCATGATGGCAAATACCATCGGACAAGAAACGAAACAAAAATTAAATAGAGGGGATTTGAGCTGGTAGTGTTGAGTAAAAGCACTATATGATCTAGTAAAAGGTCTGCGACTTACACTGAAAACATTTTTAAAGCATAATGTTTGCCGAACCAGCGATGCGAAACATCCGGAAAGCCGTGATATCTTTCGTTCCCCGAAATCATATTACTCATTGAATTCTTTTCTCCATTTCTCGCCAATTTTGTCGACCAAGTCATATTTCGAAAAACGGAGAATCTTGTTCTGGACCTTCCATCAGACTTGTTCTAAGCTGAGTGTTGGCTCTGTTCGGCTTTTTTTTTGGTAACCGCGGTAGCCGCTCACCCTCCAAGGGAACCCTCTGCTCCCGCGGCTCCGAACTGGCTGGACTCAAGTTACCTATCTGACACCAACCACTACGAACAGGAGCATGACGGATTGAGCATGGTATGCACCTGCAGCATTACGCGCCAGTCGACGACGTGAAATGGCACATCACATACTCTAATCAATAAAGCGTAGTATAATAGTATAAAAGCGGGATCGTATCCAAATCAGTGAAAACGACAACTATTAAAACAACAAAAACAACCAAAATGCACCAGATAGTCAGAACCCAGAATACATTTTTATTCTTTCTAAATTAATGCATGATGTTCCCTCCGCAGCTCGATACCTCTTAAAAATGTATGCTAATGCGACAAATATAAATGAATTCACTCGATATTTGCAGTGCATGAACTCACTGACATAAATTAATGGACTGTATATTTACTACGCCTGAGTACTACCGGTATAAAATATTAGAGGCTATTCAATTTAAAATGTGGTGAGTACGATCTGGTGTAACCATTTAATAATTGATTAGTCACAGAGTAATCCTGATACGATATTTATAGTATTGACTCGTTACTGTTGATAAGTTGGACCTGCGCAACACTTCAGCGGTTATTCGTTCTACCATTTATTCTATACAGTCGACTGCGTACTCGTTCGTGTGAGAAACTAAGCTTTCACAGGAGCACCCAACAGATCGAGCGGGCCATTTGATTAAGTCCGGGCTCGACGTAACGAAAAGATTACCATTCCAGTGATAAAACAAACGGTGGAGTTAAAAGCATCTGCGAAAACAGATAATGATGGTGATTGTCGCAATACGTAGTTGCGCTGTCCTTTACTAAAGAGAGTCAGAGTGCCTATTAGCGGCATTCAGTCACTTCGCGTTTTCCTCTCGAGCACTGCAACGTTCCATTTTCCTGGCCACGGAGTGATGCGGTTCCACCACATCATACTACTGGGTTTTGCCATCAGCGGCATTGGTGCTGATGCCTCATGGAGCACTAACTTAAAGCGCATTCAGACCCAGTTCATTTTTCGTGCCGAGAAGGACGTTCCTATCAAGCGAATCCTGAGGCCATCTGCTGGAATCGAAGATGTCCAAGAAGAAAGAGCGTGGTATAGTGTGATTACGAAGCTTTTCAAGTCCAAAACCTCATCGAAGGTCCATCCGGAACTAGCGTCGAAGGCTAAGACGAATTACTTAGCGAAGGTTGATTTCGAAAGTACCGGAGACGATATACTCGACGGCTTAATTCGCAACAAAACACCTTTGGACGAAGCTTTTACGAACCTGAACCTGAAATTGGGAGATGACCTCATTTCCCAACCGAACTTCAAGTCGTGGTACAATTACATGTTCGAACACAATAAGAACGCGAAACACGCAACATCTTGGGTCGGATTCCTGAAGAAACAGGAGTACTCAGAAGAAAAAATTCGGGATATGCTGATATCGGCCAGTAAGAGCCACAACCAGGACGTGAAGGCAATGGGCAAAAGTATTGAATCTGATCTGATGAAAGGGTGGACGAAGCAGAAACCCATGAAAAAGCCAGAGGATGTCGCCCACCTTTCTGATGAGCTCGCTGAAGCATACAAACCGATTTTCGCTAAGGCAGTTGAAGCGGCCAAGAAGAAGAGGAAAGAAGAAGCAGAAGAGTTAAGGAGGCGGAATCCAGCTGCTGCTGCTGTTGGTGGTTAAACCACGCTGCCTCTTTTCAAATGATCCGATGGTCTGTGCTGTTTCTCATGATGTCTCCTCCGACAAGTGCTAACCGGACTGTAGCACTCCTGCTAACAACCTTTCTGCACTAGTTCTGTTACTGGTAGCATTGAAAGTTAATCTAGCTGTTTTGACCTTCTGTTGGATCTGCGAACGGATCAAAGGTCTGTACATGATGGTCAGCAATGTATCATTTAGCGTGCAGCCTCCTAAGTACATGTATATTGTCAAAGGGGTAGAGAAAAACTTTAATTCTTTGGATTTTATTTTCAGTATCCACCCGGGATTCAGGGCTCCTCCAATTCAGTATTAAACTGAATTTCCTATCAAGGCAGTAATAATAAAATTGCCATAAACACTTCAAAATTCAAGTGCGTTTAGCTCGTACTCAGTGGCTACCGTCGCCACTTCCCACATGCTCAAATTCGCAGACAGCATACTTGTACGCTTCGGTAATCACCAGCTTACATTGCGAAACAATCGGCTCTGGAGTATTGCCCAGACTACCTGCCAACTGGGGCACAACAGCACGGACGACACCGCGCCGACACCCGACACCGCCGGCTCCTACCGACACCCGAGAGACTCGTCATACTGCACGTTCGTAATCAAGCACCGCGTAAACTGTGGACTTCATCACAAACATTAACGATTGGCGCAGCGGAGCTTGTGGGCAATGCCGCATGCCGCGCCCAATGAGGAAAGCAGAAGTAAGAATAGGAGTACAACACCTTCTAATAGACTCACTTCGCAATCTACTTTGCAAATAGCAGAACGTCATATCGGCTCGCAAATAGCCGGTTGAGCAAGATTAGAGGACGGCTTGTGCCCCAACACCGTGATAGACAAACAGAATTTTGTCTAGAATGCAATATTGAACATGGAGACTACAAGATATGCGGACAAGTGGGTGTGCTGGCGGTAGCTTGAAACGCATATGTGCATACTTTTGATAATTGTATTGCAAAAATTGATACAAAATCGTATTAATATTTTTTGTAAGTAGCTCCAGTAATCCGTTTTTTATTGCAAAAAATCTGATTTTAGTGATTCTGAAAACAAAATTATTCATACCCCTGCAGGGATTGTAACGCCGCTGTAGTCCTTAATTATTAATACCTAGTCTTAGCACGATATAGATACATCCCCAATCTCTACTTATTGGCTTGTTATGTGTACTAACCTTTTGGATATTTATACTACGCAAAATCTCCAGCCCATGTTCTAATTAATGTGACGGGGTCACACAGCACCTTGTGCAGAGGAAGTAGAGCTTACTCTTCCTGAAACAACATCCGAATACTAGCCCGTACAGTCACTTATCTTTCTATTTGTATAGAAATACACCTAACCCTATAAATCATTTTTTTCGTGCCCCCAGACGTTGTTTCGATACGAGGAAGCA